GGAAAGCCTGGGAGACTATTTTGTCCAATTAACCACTAAGAAACCCAGAAGTGTTAGAACACCAGCCTTGAGAAAAAAAGCTCAGGGGTGGTGATGAACCCTGAGTTCAAGATCCAGCACTAACACACACAAAAAAGAACAATTCATCCAATAACTAAATTGGCAAATGAACTGAACCAGCAGTTCTCAAAAGTAGTACAAATGGCCACAAATGCTGAGCATCTTTAGCCATCAGGGAAATATGAACCCACACTACATTGACATCATCTTACCTAGACAGAATGGCTATCACCAACAAAACAAAAAAACACTTGCTGCCAAGGATGTGGGGGAAAATAATCCTGATACAAGACTGGTGCGAATGTATTAGTGCAACTATTATGACAATCAGTATGGAAGTTCTACAAAAAACTATAAATAAAACTATCATTTGAGTCATCTATACTACTCGTAAGTATATACCTAGAGGAATTAAATTCAGCACACAGTAGATATATTTCCATATACATATATATTGCCATTCTATCTACCATAGGCAAGTTATAGAATCAGCCTAGATGCTCATCAACAGATGAGTAAAGAAAATATGATGTAGGGGCTGGGAAGGTGGCTCAGTGGTAGAGCGCTAGCCTTGCATGCCTGAGGCCCTGGGTTCGATTCCTCAGCACCACATAAGCAAAAAGAAAAAAGCCGGAAGTGGTGCTGTGGCTCAAGTGGTAGAGCGCTAGCCTTGAGCTGAAGAGCTGAGGGACAGCGCCCAGGCTGAGAGTTCAGGCCCCAAGACCGGATCCCAAAAAAAAAAAAGAAAAGAAAAGAAAAAGAAAATATGATGTATATAAACAAAGGAGTTTTAATATGTAAAACCCAGATTTAAAAACTGACAAGGGTGGCTGGGAAGGTAGCTCAGTAGTAGAGCACTTGCCTTGCATGCATGAGGCCCTGGGTTCGATTCCCCAGCACCACATAAGCAAAAAGGAAAAAAGCCAGAAGTGGTGCTGTGACTCAAGTGGTAGAGCGCTAGCCTTGAGCTGAAGAGCTGAGGGACAGCGCCCAGGCCCAGAGTTCAGGCCCACGACCGGACTCCCCAAAAAAAATACATAAAAAAATGGCAAGGGTTAAACAAATGCAGCAGTGGTACTCATTAGATATTATGCTGAAAATGAACTATACAACTTGTGAGTGGGGATGGGAGGGAAACTAGGAGAAAGTGAGAGAAGGGGTAACATTATCAAAAATAAATGTACTCAGAACTAGGCTCTGGTGGCATATGCCTATAATTCTAGCTACTCGGGAGGCTGAGACTTGACTGTGATTCAAAGCCAGCTGGTGAAAGAAAGTCCTTGAGATTCTCATCTCCAATTAACCAGCAGAAAACCAGAAGTAGTGCTATGGCCCTAAGTCGTAGAGTGCTAGCTTTGAACAGAAAAGCTCAGGCACAGTGCCCAGTGACTTAAACGTAAGTAAAAAAGAAAAGAAAAAAAATTTACTCAGTACTTGACTTATGTAACTGTAACCCCTGTGTACATCACCTTTATATTAACAATAAAAATCTGAAACAAATATGAAAATTATAAAAAATAAAAATAAAATAACATGAGAGTAGACTATTTGGAAAGAGGAAGGTGACAGGGAGGTATAGGTTGTATACAAGAGTAATGAGGGCATACAATTAAAGTACATATTTGTTGGTTGGTTGTGGGTTTTTTTTTTTTGCCAGTCCTGCACTCTGGGTCTGCGTGCTGTCCTTAAGCTCTCTTTGTTCAAGGATAGCACTCTCCCACTTTTGCCTTTTTCTGTGATTGATTGAAAGTAAGAGTATCATAAATTTCCTTGCCTGGAGTGGGTTTGAACCTCAATCCTAAGATCTCAGCCTCCTGAGTACCTAGGATTACAGGCGTGAGCCACCAGTGCCTGGCTTAAAGTACATGTTTTTAATCAGTGTGCATTATATGTGTATATGGCAAGATCACAGTGCAACCTCATTATTCTGTACAATTTATATATGCTGATTTAAAAGTAAAATAAAAGAAACTAAGACAGGATAAAATGTCAAGACAGAATGCAAGAACAATATATACAACATATCACATATTACTGAAAGGCTATATGAAGACTAATTTTCACTAGCTTTTTAATGAGAATGAGACTGCTGGCAACCTTTGTAATTTACACTAGAGGTTTGGAGTTGCAAACCAGAGTGCAGCAGATTGAATGACGAAAGGAGCACAATGATGTGGACATAACTTAGACTATTCTCTAATGAGAAGAGAGAAAGGATGGTGTGAACAAGGACATGGCATAGAGTAAAGGAATTTCAAGTATGAAAGGAACTTGTATGGGAAAAAAATATCTAGGAGTATATGAGATGGGGGAGATGCAGGAAAGATAGGGTTAATAAGATGTACTAAAACTGCTGAGGAGATTCAGGGGTAGTGTTCTATACCTCTAATCCCAGCACTGGCAAGGCTGAGGGAAAAGGATCAAGAGTTCAAGACCAATTTGGGCTATATAGAAATTTCTAGGCCAGCCTGAGCTACATTGGCAGATCTTGTATTAATTAATTAATTAAATGGCAGCTAGAAGATATTGGCGTCTAGAGTGTGGACAGAGAGGAAGCCGAGGGACTTCATATCTCAATAACTTGAGTTTTCCTGAGTATCAGGGCTGCAAGATCATTTGCTTAATACCAGGAAGGAACTGTGCAGAAAGCTTTTGACTGTACAGAAGAAGGTTGATATAGCAAATGAAAGTTATAGAAAAAGGAACTGAGCCCAAAAGGGTTGCCCCATGCATTTGTCTATTGATTAGAAATTAATCTGAAATGCTGGATGCTAGTGGCTCATGACTGTAATCCTACTGACTCAGAAGGCTGAGATTGGATAATCATGGTTGGAATCCAACCCCAGACAGAAAAGTCATTAAGATTCCATTTCCAATCAACCAGCAAAAAAGCTGGACTGGAGTGAGGCTCAAGTGGTAAGGAACCAGCCATGAGCTAGGAAGCCCATTGAGAATACAAGGTCCTGAGTTCAAGCCCTGATACTGGTAAATGGGAAGGAAGGAAGAAAGGAAGAAAAGAAATGAAAAATAAAAGAATAAGAAATTTTATGTGAAAGCTGGATATGATGGTATATGCCTGTAATCCTAGCAGTATGGAGGCTGAGATAGGAATATCTTGGGTTCAAAGTGAGTGTGGGATAGATAAGGAGTTCAGGTCAGCCTTGGACATGTATTTGTAATAGACTGTGTCAAAACACTACCATCTGGGTACAGTGGCTCATGACTATGCTCATATCTACTCAGGAGGCTGAGATCCAGAGGATCTTTGTTTGAAGTCGGTCTGGGCAAAATAAATAAATAAATAAATAAATACCACAAAAACAATAACCATGAGATTTAATCTCTAAAACACCAGCAAAAAGCTGGGCTGGAGCCATTACTCAAATGTTACAGTGCCAGTTGAGTAAACCAGGTTCCAGTGGCTCATGTTTATAATCATAGCTACTCAAGGTGTTGAGATCTAAGGTTCACAGTTCAAAGCTAGCCTGGGCAGAAAAGTCAGTGAGAGTCTTATCTCTAACCAGCAAAAATTCAGAAGCGGAGAAGTGGCTCAAGTGATAGAAAGCCAATCTTAAGAGGAAAAAGCTATCTGGGCAATGGTGGTTCATGCCTGTAATCCTGGCTACTCAGGAGGCTGGGTTCTGAGGACAGAGGTTCAAAGCCAGCCCTGGCAGCAAAGTCTGTGAGATTCTTGTCTCCAATTAACCACCACAACACTGGAAATGGCCCTGTGGCTCAAAGTGGTAGATCGCTAACCTTGAGCAAAAGAGCTCAGGGGCAGCAACCAGGCCCTGAATTCAAGCCCCATGACCAAAAAAAAAAAAAGCTAACCAAAACTGAGAAGCCCTGAATTAAAGCCCCAGCATCAGCACCAAAATAAAAATAAAACATGGAAACGAAAAAAGGGGAGAATGCATGTCTTGTCTCTTAAAAGCTCTTACAAGAGTGTCTATACAATGTGTTAAATGTATGATCATGTCTTTTGCAAATATGGATCATGTCACTTCTTCCCTCCATATATGAATCCCTATTATTTCTTTCTCCTGCTTTATTCGTCTGTCTAGGAATTCTAGTACCATACAACTAAAAGTGAAAATGAAGACCGTTTATTAACAACAGAAAAAAATAAAGGATTATTCTGATCAAAATAGAATATGTGTGGGCTGGGAAGGTGGCTCAGTGGTAAAGTGCTTGCCTTGCATGCCTGAGGCCCTGGGTTCGATTCCTCAGCACCACATAAGCAGAATAAAAAAAAAAGCCGGAAGTGGCGCTGGAAGTGGTAGAATGTTAGCCTTGAGTTGAAGAGCTGAGGGACAGCACCCAGGCCCAAAGTTCGGGCCCCACAACCGGACCCCCCCCCCCAAAAATAGAATATGTGTACATCTGAATTTCCATAGTAAAACCCCATGGCACAACATGCACTAAAAAAACAAAAAGTGATAGGAAAGTGAATCCGGCTCTGTTGGAACTAGTGGGTACCAGCAGGAAGAAAGTGAAAAAGTGAGTGAAGAAGCAGAAAGAGTGAGGATGAAGACGCTCAAGGTGTTTTGTATGAAAATATAAAAATGAGGGGTTGGAGGTGTGGCTTAGGTGGTAGAGCACCAGCCAATGAGAGAAAGCATCAGATACTGGGTTTGAGTACTGGTCTTGGGGAAAAAATGTAACCAGTTGAAATTGCTCTGGAAGGTGTGAGGTGGAAGTTTGCTGTGGGTGCAGGGTATACAAGAGGAGCCATAGGAGCTCTTTGGGGATATTTTGATCCCAGCATATTTTAAGGCAGTACTTACATATTCAGCCCACATCTGTGACGTGCCAATTGGTAACCAATTGGTTACCGTTGCCAAGGTAAGACTTGTCACGTGGACCTGCTGGCTTGTGATCTTCAGCCTTAACCAGGATTTGAGAGGTAGCCATTTGGCAGCTCAGCTAACTAGGCTGTGGCAGTCATGGCGATCGATTTTGGAGACCCCAAGAGTGGCTTCCGCCATAGTGAGGTGATCACTTTCATTAATGAGGAGGTTCTGGGTAATGGGGGCGGGCCAGACTTCTATCTTACTTTCCGCTCGCGATCCTGGAATGACATTGAAGACGGCCTGAAGTCTGTGGTGGCGGACTCGCAGGTCCCTCGAACCATTAAGAGGGCTTGTGCCTGGAGCGCGCTGGCCCTGGGGGTTCGAATGGCAGCCAAGCAGCGAGAGCGGCTGGCGCGCCGCATTCGGAGGCTGCAGGAGCAGGTGGACCAGCGTGAGGAGAACACCTGGGCTCTGGCCTCTGAGCTGGAGCTCCTGCGCCAGGAGCGAGAGGAAGTGGTCTCTCGCTTGCGGAATGCCAGAGACAACCTGCAGCAAACACTCCGGGAGCAAAAACACCTGCGTCAGAGGCTTTTTCACTTCGATCTGTCCCAGCAAGCTGTCGCTGGATTGCAAGATGAGAGGCGTCAGACCGAGGCGTGGGTGCAGACTCCACAGAAGGGAACATCACAAGTGTCCCGCATGGCATCCAAAACAGGTGTAGTAAGACACGTTCCCTTCTCTCCCCCCTACCCCAAGTTCCTGGATCCAGGGTTTTCAGTACCATTCCCCACACTATTCCCAATATCAATAGCATGCCCATCCAACCCACCTCCCTCACGGTCATCTTAGTATGGGCAGTGAAGCTTCTTCCCATCCTAGATACTGCAGTCAACTGCAGTAAGGACTGGGGAGGATAGCCCAGTGGTGGGACTAGAGGAGCCTTGGGAGAAGACCCAGTAAGGCCTTAGGGCATAGGCCCCCTAACTGACAACAACACAAAAGAAGAAGGGAAGTCATATGATGCCCCACATCAGAATGACGCCGTTTGAAATATCCCCTATGTATACCATACTTTCTTAAGACATTTGTTTATGCATGCATATGACCCGTATGTGTTTACTTATACATTTAGAGTCTAGTTCCAGCTATCACAAATGAGAGAAAACATGTTCCAATTGTCTCTCTGAGCCTGACTTCACATAATTTTTCCCTAGGTCCATCCATTTGCCTCAAACGAAACATTATTCTTCCTGATACATGCTCAGAATTCCATTGTATATATGTACCACATTTTCTTGATCCACTCATCTGGTATAGGACCTCTGGGCTGTTTCCATAACTTGGTTATCATAATTAGTGGAACGGTAAACATGGATGTGCAATATCTTTACTGTATCCTACCTTATAAAGTTCTAGGGAGATGTTCAGGGGTGGTATTGCTGGATCATAGGGTACGTCTATGTTTAATGTTATGAGGAATTGTTAAATCGCCTTCCAGAGTGATTGCACTGGTTAATATTCTCACCAACAGGGTAATAGGGCTCCTTTACTCCTCCTCGCAACACACATCCGCTCGAGCATTGGTTATCGCTAGTGTTTTTGATGATGGCCAGTCTTACTGGGGTGAGATGGACTCTCAGTATTGCTTTGATTTGCATTTGCTACGGATGTTGAACATTTCTTCATGTGTTTGTTGGCTATTCTTACTTCTGAGAAGTCTTAGTTCCTTTGCCTATTTAGTAATGTGGTTATTGACTTGCCAGGGACAGGAGGGAGTTTCTTGAGCTCCTGACTATTAGGTTTTTATCAGATGCATAGCTGGCAAAGAGCTCCCCAATCTGTAGGCTTTCTTTTATCTTACTAAGCATATGCTCTTAGCTGTGCAGAAACTTTTTAGTTTGATGTAATCCCATTCGTCAATTCTCCAATTTGCTGAACCCCTGGAACTCTACTCAGCAAGTTCCTGCCTATGCCAAGAAATTCTAATGTTTCTCTTACTCTTTCCTGTAGTACTTCCCAGGTTTCATGTCTGTTGTTAAGGTTTTGGATCCATTTTTAGTTGCTGTTAGTGCAAGGAGATTGACAAGAATCCAATTTCAGTCTTCTATCTACGGATATCTAGTCTTCCCAACATTTGTTGAAAAACCTATCTTTTTTCCAATATATATTTCTGACTCTATCAAATATCAGCTGGCGGTAAGTATATAATATTTCTAGGTCTTTCAGTCCATTCCATTGGTCTTCAGGTCTGTTTTTATCTCAGTACCAACCTGTTCTTTATTAGTACAGCATTTAGGTCCAACATTGCATTTTTTTTTTGCCCAGACTTACTTCACCTATTTGGGGTCTTTGGTGGTTCCATAGGGGATTTTGGATTGTTTTCTCTATCTTGGTGAGGAATGACATTGGGATTTAGATGGATATTGCATTGAATTTGTAGATCACCTTTCCAAGTATAGCCATTTTTACATGATTAATTTCACTAATCCATGAACATGGGAGGTCTTTCAACTTCTTTGTTTCTTTCTTTACAGTTTAATAGTTTTTATTTTATAGATCCTTCACTTCCTTGGTTAAGTTTATTCCTAGATTTTTAAGGCTATTGCAAATGGACTTGTTTCTGATTTCCTTTTCTATCTGTACATTGTTGGTATATGGAAAAGCTACTAGTTTTCATGGGTTAATTTTGTATATTGCTACTTTGCCAAAATCATTGATTAGCTCTAGAAGTTTGGGAGTGGAGTCTCTAGGGTCTTTTAGACAAAGGATCATGTCATCTGCAAATAGGAACAGTTTGACTTCTTTCACTGTCCCCTTTATGCTTTTCTCTTGCCTGATTATTCTGGCTACAAATTCTAGTACTATACTGAAATGTGTTCAGAAAACGGACATCCTTGTCTTGTTCCTCATTTTTGAGGAAATAGTTTTAGTTTTCCACCATTAAATATAAGGTTGGCTCTAGATTTGTCATAAACAGCCTACATTATGTTGAGGAATGTTCTGTGTATTCAGAAGTTTCTCCAGAGCTTTTATCATAAAAAGATGTTGGATCATATCAAAGGGTGTTTCTGCATCTTTGTTTCTGTTAATGCATTGCATTTATTGATTTACATGTATTAAACCAACCTTGCATCCCTGGGATGACTCTCACTTGATCATAATGTATGAGTTTTTTTATTAGTTGTTGAATTTGTTTGGCCAGAATTTTATTAAGAAGTTCCACATCTGCACTCATAAGAAATAGTGGTCTATAGTTCTTTTGTTTTTGGTGGAGTCTCTGTCTGGTTTCAGATAAGTGTAACACTGGCTTCATAGAATTAATTTGGTAGTGATCTCTCCCTTTCTATTTCATGGGAGAGTTGGAAGAGTGTTGGTGTTAGTTTTGCTTTAAAGGTCTTATAGAATTTAGCTTTGAAACCATCATGATCTGGACTTTTCTTTGTTGAGAGGTCTTTTATTGCCATTTCATTACTCATTATGGATTTGTTTAAATGGTTTATGTCCTCTTGGCTCAGTTTTGGTATGATGATGTTATCTAAGAATGCATCTATTTATGCCAGATCTTCCACAGTTTGTTGGTGTAAAGGTTTAAAAAGTATTTCCTTATAATATTTCAAAGTTTTATTCAAATCTGTTTTGATATCCTCTTTCATATCTGATTTTTTTTAATAACAGCAAAAATGCATAGCCTTGAATGTCCTACTGCTGTTGTTTCCATATCTCCAGCTAGGCTTTTGGATCGTTATTTTTGAGATTAATTGTCTTGAACTTTTCTGTCCATGCTGGCGTCAAAATTACATCTTCTTCATCATAACCATTTTTGGGAGGAGAGGAGTGCTGGTCCTGTGGCTCGAACTCAGGGCCTGGGCATTGTCCCTGAGCTTTTTTAAAGCTCAAGGCTAACACTCTACCCCTTGAGCCACAACTCCACTTCTGGCTTTTATTGGAGATAAGAGTCTCACAGACTTTCCCATCTGAGCTGGCTTTTAACTGCAATCATCAGATCTCAGCCTCCTGTGTAACTGGGATTACAAGCAGGAACCACCAACACCTGGTTCCAGAGAACCCTTTCTAGTTTTTTTTTAAACACTTTGATTTGCATAATAGAATATTTTAAAACCCATCTATCAAAATTTTTTACCTCACCATCAAACAATAACATTATTTTGTTGTTTTGTTTTATAGTGATAGGGATTGAGTCCAGGACCTTGTGCATGGTAGGTAGGCAAGTACTCTATCATTGAGCTACCTCCTCAGTGCACAATAATTATTCTAATACATTAATATATTTCCACATATGAGGCTGGAGGTTTGGCTCAAGTGGTAGAACACTTACCTGGAGAGTACAATACCCACGTTCAAACCCTAATACCACTAAAAAAGAAAAAAGAAAAATTGAAAATGTACTTTAGATTATACTGAATTTTAATTTAGCAAAAGCTGATCAAGAGCATGATGTATGAACAAGAACATGAGTTAAAAATATGTATTTCAGTACAAGACACTATGTTGAAAATGAACTTTATAACTTTGGGGGCGGGGAGGAGTTGGGGAAGTGGGAAGGAAAGGGATGGTAGAGGAATAACAAATGAGGAGCTAACAATGCTCAATAGGAAATGTACTCATTACCTTACTCATGTAACTTTAACCCCTCTGTACAGTATTTTTACAATAAAAACATTAAAAATAAGTATTTCATATTTGGAGGTTTTTTTTAATGTTTCATGTGTATATATGTATGTAATTTGCATTCATTTAAAAAGAGGAGTCTGTTGACTATACCAAAGGGAAAATTTCTCTAACTGAACTTACAGTTGGTCAACTTTCTGATTAAGCTGATATTTAAAAATTTTGTTCTCCTTTGTGCACTGTTCTTCATCTTTCACAACACTAGGTTTCTGCCTGGGAATAATTATACTTTTATGTTTTGGCAATACTAAGATTTGATTAAAAATATTTTTTCTTGAGCCATGTACCAGTGGCTCATGCCTGTAATTCTAGCTGCTCAGGAGACTGACATCTGAGAATCATAATTCAGAAATAACTTGGGCAGGAAAGTTTATGAACTCTTATCCAATTAATCATCAGAAGAAATACCAAAAGTGGAGCTGTGGCTCAATTGATAAAGCACGAACCTAGAAAATGTGAAGACCTCCCTCAATTCATAATCTTTTTATTATAGTACTGGGAATTGAACTCAAGGCCTTGAGCTTCTAAGCAAATGGTGTACCACTTGAGCCACACCCTAGTCTGGTACTGGAGTTATAACTCAGGGACTCACAGCTGCTAAGCTGGTATTCTCCACTTGAGCCATGCCCCCAGCCTAGTTATGCTTTTAGAACATAAGATGCATTATATTCTAGGTACACTGCTTTTTCCTTGAAAATGCTGGTATTATACTGTAAACTATAATAGCATTCATATTTGTCTTTTGATTTATGTTTATAACTATATTCATAGAGTCTCCTACTCTTTATGTCTCTAAACTCCAGGAACTTCACGTAAAGCCGAAGAAGTTCCAGCCCCCACCAGATGAATCTTCATGAGATGCCCCTCTGGCTCTTAGCAGTTCAAGAAAACCTCAACTGCTATAGCTACAGAGTTCAAAGGAATCAGGCAGATGTTTTGTCACATTATGTTGCAACAAGGGAGAACATACACATTTTGTTAGAATTTAATCCTGTTAGAGAGAAGGGAATGACATCAAAGAGTTCAAAGGGGCTGGGAAAACAGCATTAAATTTTGGAGATCATATCAAATATGTTGGATTTTATTCATTTGTTTATTGACTAGATGGTATTATCTGATGTACATATTATGATCCATTTGGGTGAGATTGGTTAAATGACAGGAGAGACAAAGGACAGGAGAGAATCTCTTTTGAGTTAATATGCGCAAAGACTGTTCACTTTGCCTTGCATACAGTGAAACCTTGGGAAAAATCAATTGAAATCATATTCAGATCTCTTTTTATAGTTCTGGGAGTGACACAAAAGAGACTTTCAAGAAAGGTCTTCAGTGTCCAGACTGTTCCTCTTCTTAGCATGGATCATGAAAATGCATACAAGGCAATATTCCTGACTTATCCACCAGCCTGCCTCAGAGACCATTGGGTTGCCTTTTATTGTTTGTCTTTAGTTTCATGGTGGGTAGTCAGGAAGATAGCTGAGTCTCAAGAGAGGAAATTGGCAAAAATTTGGAGAAGTTCCCCCCAAATCTCTACCAGCAGCCTTCTGCTGTGCCTCAAACACCAAAACACCTAAGGCAAAATGAGAACAACAGCACATTTTCATCCTTACTTTCAACATTTTGTCTAATTCTTAGCTTACGCTAACCTCTTTGTTTTCCCTGAAATGGGACAATCCTGCTGTCCACTGTGTTGTTGTCTTGAAGAAAGATTGTGCCTAGATAAAGTCGTCTATGCATACTCCTGCCCTCAACCGGGGCTATCCCCATCCTATATGTCTTCCACTGTTATTTGCAGGCTCTTTGCTATCCCAAGGCAACTGATGCAAGGCAAGGAGGAACCAGAGAGTGTGAGGGGTGTGAGTTAGATGATATCAAAGAATTTCAACTGGAATTGAAATTGACTTTGAGTTCCCTTTTGGGATTCTGCCCAGTTCACCAAGATGTACTTATGGTTGTTCTGATGTTTACTAGTAATAAAGAATGTAAACTTGTCCTTATGTGCCTTTTGTGTATTGTATATCTTGGGACAGGTTTGCTCAGAGGTGCCAGCTCATATTCTCATCTTCCCTCTACACCTTTAAGGCAAGGGACAATTCAATCTAACTTACTGTTAACAGGCCTCTCCACTTCCTGTGCATTACTGAAAAATTGGAAGTACCTCTATTGGATATTTGATCCATCACATTCTCCCCTGCTACCCTTATACAAATCCACATGGTCCCTTGCAGGTGGGCATGGCTGCTGCTCCAGCGCTACTGAGGCAGAGGGGTTGAGGATAGAGCACAGTTGGGAAGATGGGAAAGGAGTGGAAAAATGGAGTGGGTGTTTTTGCTGAGGCTTGAGCTCTGATTCCTGGGGTCGAGCCTCCCTTTATATGCCAAAAAATCATTTCCCTGAAATCTTCCTGAGATTCCCCGATTAGTAATTAACTTCTTAGTTGCCCTCTGAAGGCACTTTCTGGTCACAAGACAAATATTCCATGGTAGAGCACCAACTATGAGCAAATACTCCGTGGAGTGAAATGAATAAAGCCTGCTGGATAAGGGACAGGAATGAGGCCAAAGAACAAAAGAGACCCTGTGCCACCAGCCTTCTCATATCCCATAGATATATAATTATTGGGATGGCCCTGGATATTTGAGAGGGAAGCATTGGAGAGGAAATGTCTGTCAAGGTCATTATACCCAAAGATAAGTTATCTGTTTGGGAGCAGATTTTGTGCTATTGTTGTACATACTGATAACCCTTAGAATTTGGGAAGATGGGATATATAAAATCTGGCATATTGTAGTACATTTTAATGGGATTTTCAAATTGTAGTTTCTGGACCAACAGCATCAGAAATACCTTTATGAATGCAAATTCTCAGCCTTCACTTCAGAACTCTCTACAAATTCTGAAAACGGGAACTTGTAGATGTTTCTGACACATGCTGAAATTTGAGAACCTTTCTTTTAATAGTGCAATGTCAACAAATCACTCTAGGTCTATCTCCTCAGGTTGTGTTCATTTGGGGGTTCACAATTGCACTCTGGTGTCCATTGAAATATCTGAAGGTCTAGGTGTAGTTTTTATGTAGCTAAATGTGATAACCCAATTATTTCAAGGCTGAGGGTTTTTCTTTCCAAACAAACAGCCTGAAATTTATGGTTAAAATCCTTTTAAGTTGGCCCTCAATTCTCCATTCTGGGCTGTTCACATACAGTTAAAGACAGTTGGAGAAGCCTGACTTTTGAAGCTAGAAAACAGATCTGCTGCTCACTAGCTTTGTGAAGTCAAACAAGCTACTGACTTTTTCCAAGCCTACAAAAGTGTTTACTCCTTTCCCTACCTCATCTGAAATGATGGGGTAATGGTATAAGAGAGAGCCAACTGAGAACCTATGTAGAGTACACTCTATATGAAACTTTTCAGCAACTATCCTATTATTGACCGCTAAGGTTGCAGGTTGTTGTACCCCAACATTTCACATACTGGAGGCTTGTTCCCCGAGATGGCAGTGTTGGGTGACAGTGTGACCTTTAAAGAGATGATGCGTAGCCTGGTGCCAGTGGCTCTTGCCTGTGATCCGAGCTATTTGGGAGGTTGAGACCTGGAGGATCTTGGTTCAAAGCTAGCCGAGGCAAAAAGAGACTCCGTCTCTTGAGTAAAAAGCAAGAATGAAGTTGTGGTTCAAGTGGTGGAGCAGCAGTCATGAGCAAGAACCCACACCTCTGTGTTCAAGCCCTAGTATATGAGAGAGAGAGAAAAAAATATTGGGTCCTAGAGGAAAGGGAGGCTTTAGGCCTTTGGGGGTCATGCCAATTGCAAAAGGGAATACTGATCTGGTGTAAGTTCTTAGAAGTTACAAAAGCCTGAGTCTTACTTCTGAGTCACACTTTGCCTTTCTGTTTTAAGATGTGATTTCTTCACTACACACATACCCTTCCATGTGATGAAATCTAACAGACTTGAGCAGATGACATTGCCATACAATGGAACATCTAAAATGGATATCTAAATAAATGTTTCTTTATGAAGCTATACTGCCTCAGTGATTGCCACAGCTATATAACAGGAGTATGAAAAATAGTTAGCTGGGTGCTGGTGGCTCATACTTGTAATCCTAGCTATTCAGGGGGCTGAGCTCTGAGGGCCATGGTTCAAAGCCAGCCTGGGCAGGAAAGTCCAGAAACTTTTTTTTGTTGATTGTGGGGCTTGAACTCAGGGCCTGGGTGCTGTCCCTGGGCCTCTTTGTGCTCAAGGCTAGCACTCTACCACTTGAGCCACAGTGCCACTTCCAGTTTGTGAGTGGTTTATTGGAGATAAGAGTCTCATTGGGGACTTTTCTCCCTGGGCTGGCTTCGAATCAAGATCTTCAAATCACAGCCTTCTGAGTAGCTAGGATTACAGGTAAGAGCCACCAGCGCCCAGCCTAGTTCAGAGACATCTTCAATTAACCACCAAAAAGCTGCAAATGGAGCTGTTGCTGAAGTGGTAGAGCCCTAGCTTGAGCACAAACCTCAGGGACAGTACCCAGGCTCTGAGTTCAAGCCATAGCACATAAAAATACACCTATTAATAGTTCTTTATGGAAGAGATTTTATTCTACTGTGCAGATGTGCATCTCATTCACCCGAAGACATTCAATTGGGAGTTGGTGAAACCTAGGTTCAAAACCCAACTTGTGTGGCACCAAACTCCACCTTCTTTCTCCTTATCCTTTCACACTTACCAATTAATAGCAGCTAGCAGGGTCTACCAATAATTTGACCCATAGCATTGATAACGGAGGACTTTGAGTCATAGAAGTAGGCTGGTGGAGAAGGAAGTATGTGGAGGTGGTAAAAGTCAGGGTTAGTTGTAGGTGTTGGTGCTTGAAAAGGAGGTGGGTAGCAGGAGCAGACTGGGGATGAGTCTCCTAGGAATGTTACCTGATGAACCTTCAGAGACAGAGATGCAGCATAAAGTAGCATGTGGTGGTTGACATGTTCTGTATCTCTACCTCCATGGAAGCGTTGACCATCAGCAACGCTTTCACACCCATTCATCTCATTCATCGCATTTACTGACTCTGATCTGCCCCCTTCCTGAGAGAACCTATAGAACATTTTAGTGATAAGAATCACTTCTTCCACATCACCAGACGAAACAATGGATAAGAGTCAAGTATGCCCCTGCATCCTTTATGGGAAGGGGAGTATGCAAGCTAAGGACCAAGGGGCTGGACTAATGTAAAATAAAGGAAATTCTATTGATAAGACCATGTTTCAAAATTGAAGCCAGCCTGGGCAGGAAAGTCTGTAAAACTTATCCAGTTTGAAAGATGTCTTGTTTTAAATGTCTTTATTAAGAAGAAACATTTCTTACTTTTTTAAAATACTTTTTTATTGTAAAAGTAGCGTACAGAGGTGTTCCAGTTTCATGAGTAAAGTAATGAGTACATTTTCTTTGGAGCATTGTTACCTACTCCTTTGTTTTTCCCCTACCATCCCTCCCTCCCCACTTCCCCAACTCCTCCGTCCCTCCTACTCAAAAGTTGTAAAGTTTATTTTCAATGTAGTATCTTGTACATTTCATTGTTACAATGGGTCATTTCTTTCAAGTTGCTTATCCACTTGCATTTCTTGTCTTGACTCACCTATTCATGTCTTTGATCCAGTCTCTCATGGAATATTCATATCTTTTGTTGACACTTGATAGTAAGTTTATGTTCCTAACATTTTGTCATTGTGAACAAATACATTTCCACTTACCTTTAAATTTGTATCTAATAGCATTTTAATGGTCAGAATATTGAAAATTATTTTCCACTATCATTTAAAAAAGCACTTTTATTCAATCATTCATAATTTATTTATTTACTTATTGTCTGAGG